CACCTGTCGGTGGGCCTCGGCCGCCTGCCGGAAGTCGCTCCACATCTCCTCGTTTGCCCGGTCCATTGCCCGCTTCTCCTCGCTGGTCGTCCGCCACGCTGCGCTGCGCCTAAAAAGCCGTTTGTGGCCACATGAAGATATGAAATTCATTATTTTCTCATTCCACAAAAACTGTCGAAGAGAACAAAAACATTTTTGCAGAGAGGTGTATGTGTCTCTGTGTAAAGTTAAGGGACCTAAATAAAAACTAGGCACTGCAGGAGTCTTTTGGCCAAGTGTGGAGGTCACACACCCGTCTTTCGATGGGGGGTATTCACACTCTTCTCCCTTTGGAAAGTCCCCGTTGGGATAGAGCTCACAAATAGGTACTGAGGGAGGGTCAGTCTGTCCCTTCACTGTGGCCCAGATAGAGAAAAGTAGAAAAAGATGAAATAAGAGGGGTACAGGGCAAACACTGCTTCAGATCAAATAACCTTTAACAAATAAAAGTATCTATCTTAAGACATTATTATAATGTGTTTGATATAAGTGAAGAAAAGTTTTTTCTTTAATTATAAATAAAGACTTTTTAAAAAGTCGGATGTGTGCTGGACTTAAAACACTTCTCAGCATAAAGGAGGCTGAGAAAACATTTTACATTTTTATCTAAAGAACAGATTCTTTCCTAATAGCCTAGTTTAAGCCTAATAAACAGGCTTAAACTAAGATAAATCACATGAAACATATACTATGTGAACAATTATGACCAATCAGTTCCCAGGCTTTCAGCAGTTTACCGAGACACTAAGTTTAACCGGCTGTATGATAATACCTTCCTCTATGTCAAAGCCAGTCACCTTACCTCCTTTCTTCTTCTTTTTCTTCTTCTTCTTCTTGGCGGCTGAGTTTTCCCCTTCATCACCATCTGTTGGAGGCATCATGCAGCTATTAAGGCAAGGGAATATTGATGGCATGGACGTATTTTTCCCTGGGGCGTCCGCTCAAATTTAAAAAAAATCATGCGGCAGTTATGGCCAGCTGAATCTCACAGTGGCACTTTTAGCACACTTTGAGCTCCAGAAGCACCTGAGCTGCATGTTAGAATCACTGGAGGTGAAGGATATACCTTCTTCTGCATCCTCAGGCCTCTCTTTCTCCTCCAAGGTTTGCTGCTCCAGCTGTGCTGTTACTTCACCAACACCTCCAGCTTCTCCACAGTCCCCCTCTGCTTCCTTTGTCCCTGCTGCAAAGTCACATACTGTTGTGCATACATGTGCACACACACACACAGTTCATTATTTGTTGCTCATCTCAAGAAAGTGCATACACTATGTTTTGAACTTGGCAGAGCCTGTGAATAATTTCTTGACAGTCTAGTCTTTATGTTCAAGGGCATATGTACCTTGCAGCATTATGCTGTTAAGTGCTGTGTGGAATAAACATGCAATATAATGCAGCAAATGCAGCTCGGCGTTGTGTTAATGATTTTTTTCCCTCCTTATAATAAAAATGTTGCAGGTATCAGTGACATCTTTTACTTTCTTCCTGCACTGAACTGTTGCTGCTTCCAGTAAATGAAACTCATCCATCTTATATATCTTCTTATACCCCTCATTTTGCAACTTTGAAGGAAATATAAAGCCTATTATTACATTTTTTTTATTTTAAAATTGAGTGTCACCCTCAGAAAAAGAAAAAAAAAGGTTGAAAACTCTCCTGTCCCGTATCCAGATAAACAGGAGGACACATTTTTGCGCTGCATTCCTTCCAAAGTGACGCGTCTCACCTGGCACCTGCGTCCTGCTCCTCTTCTTCTTTCTTCTCCTTTTTTTCACAGCTTCGCAGGGGTCCGCTTCCTCTCTTTCCTCGTCTTGCAAGTCGCCTCCATTGAGAAGTTGAGGCTCTACTTCGCGCTGTGGCTCCGGCTCCGCCATGATCAACGACTGAAGAGAGGCGAAGTGACGCATAGTAAGGCTGCCGGGAGCCTCCAAGTGGCCAAAGAGGATAGAAAAAGTCACTGCTGGCCAGATGTGACTTCTTAAGTTTCATGCACCTTTTAC